TGGCCACTGAGGCTCAGACTTTATCATGTTGAGAAACATGCAGAGTGGAGTGTGGTGATGGCAGACTGACACTCAGGACGGCGCTCCTGAAGCATCCGACCTGCATGCTGCACATTCCAGGAGGGATTTGGAAGCAAGAAGCTTCACGCTCTCCCGTTAGTCTGCACAGGAATGAGCGCGCATGTGTGTGCGTGAGAGAGAGAGAGAGAGAGAGAGAGTGTGTTATTTCACACTGAAGTGTCGAAATTCTCTCTCCGTCAGAACTCTTTGCCCTCAGATATCACTGAATCTGGTTCGAGCCAAGATTATTAATTAAAAATATACTGTGGAATAGGGTTGGCCGATTTATTTATTTGTCCATGAGTAAGTTTACTAATAATGATGAGCTAATAGAAGCAGTCAACAGAAAAAAATAAAATAAATAATAGCGCTGTTTTAACAGCACCCTCTTTCAGAAGCTGGTGATAGCCTAGCATACTCAGCCGGATGGTGGACATGTGCACGCTCGTGCAAGTTAGTCGTGTTTGAGTACTTTGCTCGCACCGCGTTGGTTACATCCTCAGGTTTACCTCTTTCATCTGGTTTAAAGCCAAAGAAATCCCAAATTGGTGACTTTATATTTTTTTAGTGCTGTCAGCGTTAACGCGCCGTCATCACGACTAACACTTAACCATCTGGAGCGCAGACTGAGTCAAGATCCCTGAAATGCCTCCGTGAACGCATTTTGGGCAGTTTGTCCAAAGTTTGTTCATTCTGCGCTCCAGACGGGTTGAGCGAGTTGGAAATGTATTCGCGATGATCCGTTTATGCTGCATTAACGCTTACGTTAACGGGGATAATTAGTTTATCCATGTTTGGACTTCTTCTGTGCTGTAAACGCGCAAACAGTCCGTGCATGATTACATTGCCCCGCCCATCCAAAAGTCTGCGCATGCGTGAATATATCGGCCATCAGCGATTGTTAGACTGACGATTGCAGGTTGGAAAATTTTTACATATCGCCCAACGCTACTGTGGGGTGATATATATATATATATATATCGAGATAGAGATATCTCTATATCTATAGAGATATACATATAGAGATAGATATAGATAGATAGATCTATCTATCTATATATATATCTATATCTATATATATCTATCTATCTCTATCTCTATATAGAGATAGAGATATATATACACACATATATACATACACACATATACATATATATTCCACAGCATGTCTTTATCCTGTCTTCCTTCTCTCACCCCGACCAATCACAGCAGATGGCCCCGC